GGCAACCCCTGGATAAGGTACGGACAATACTACTACCAAATTCATAAATCCCCGCAGTCCTATTATCGAGATAATTAAGTAGAATATTGTAAAGATTTCTAGGACAATCGAAGCATCTAAGTTGATTTAACAAGGCGGGCCACCACAACGTATTAAATGCATTTTTAAAGTCAATAGCTATGAGTAAAACATGTTCTCCTATTCTCCAAGATTCGTTTATATAATTCATAACCTCGTGTATGGCATGATATGTAGATTTACCTCTAACGAAACCATATTGCTGATTATTTAATACTTTTTTGTTATTGAGGAAAAAGTTTATCCTGTTTATGATAAGACCATCCAAAACCTTACCAGGTACAGAAAGAAGACTTATTGGTCTAAATTTATCCGCTCTAGTAATATTTTCATTGTCTCCTTTAGGTATAAATTTAACTTTGGCTTGTTTCCATTTTTCGGGGAAAATCCCTTCTTGTAAGCACCTATTATAAATGTATACCAAGGCTGTTGGAATAGCTTTAAATGCATTTTTGAGCATTAACGGTGTTATACCATCTAAGCCTGGCGCCTTACGGTTTTTAATTGATTTAACTGCTTTGTTAACTTCTTTGTAAGTGAAGTAACAATCATCCTCGTTGTCTAAGATGTCTTTTATTTTACTTCGGATATGTTTTTGTTGGTTATTGTCTTTTGAGACATCATCTGGCGGAAAATGAACGTCCATTAGGTGTTCCATTGTCTCTTGGTATGTTTTAGTGTAGCTTCCGTCTTCTTTATTAAGGTTAATTGGAATACTAATATTTTTCCTAGGTTTGCATATAATGTAGTAAGGATCTGACCACACTGATAGCTCTCCCATTCTTGTACAATATACCTTCCAAGCCTCAGTACGTGCTTTGTTAATTTGTGTTTTATAATTATTAAGAGATTGTCTGTATATTTCTCTAAGTTCAATTTTTTGAGTAGAGTCCGAGCATCTTTGAAATTTCTTTAATTTTGCCCTTACTTGTTGTCTCAACTTAGCCAGATCTCTATTCCACCAACAAGCTCCCTTTTTTGTAGCACAATATGCAAGTGAGCAAGAGGTGTCTCCATGATGGACAGAAGCAAAGCTTTCAAAACACACATTTGATAACCATAAACTAAGAATCATGGAGGCATTTGAAATATTTGCCACAACATTAACAACAAGCAATTATTTATTGTGACATCACCACAATGCCAGGCTGCAATTTTTAATCATATGTTTAATTTATTTCATTTAAAATATATGCTCTCCACCTCAAATTAGTACTGTAGTGTCTTGCCCTTGTAAATTCATACATTTCTATTAGCAATGGAGTCATACTGGTCATCTATTAACTACTTTCGGAGGAAAATTTCTGAATTGAAATATGACTGCTGGTTTGCATGGGAAGTTTATATATAGTTAATCGAACTTCATGCCTGAGGTTTCCCTATATGGTCTCAGATTTTATCCATTTAATTCCATTNTTCTAGTTACCTTTATCAACAGAAATATGATATTTGTCTTCAATCCCATCTAAACACACAGTGATTAAAAACTGTTTGAAAACTTTGCTATTAGTAACTTTTTTATAGTAATCACTATTGATAACAATATCATAAACTGAACAAGTCTGGCCACCTACAAAAAAAAATTCATTTTATTTAATAATAATATTTATTGTAATTACTTTATTTTTCAAAACAAAGTGTAAATAGAAAACACTAAGTATATATTAATAAAAATTACATTGCATTTAACATCATTTAACTCAGCATTGACAAGATGATGTATGACAAATCCCAACACTTTTCTAAAGGCAATAACTTTTGAAATTTGCTAAGTATTACACCTTACCTTGTCAATACCAGTATAAAAATTTTGCTATACTTTGGTATAACATGACAAAAAATTATTGACAAAAGTTAATCATTTAGTTAATTTGTTCATATATTATTAAGTATGGTTTCTTTCAAAAAAAGAGCAGACACATTTAAGAAAATTATTAGAAGACTGATGATATGCCAAATTAAATTGATTCTGATAATAGGGAGGATAAAATTAGAAATGATACCAAACAAGATGACAAAGAAGAAACTGCCAATGAAGAAAAACTTATTAAAGTCTGTCCCAAAAATTTAGGCAAAATGATTTTTCATGAAAAATTTTTTAAATATTAACTTAATTGATTTTTAAATACTGTTCAATTGACTTAATATAAGACAAATGAGATCACACTGCATCATAATAAATGTCATTAAAATGATAAATTTAAAAATTTAATAGTTATTAAATTACTTAAAATAATAAAAATTTTGTTAGATTTTGCCTTCCCAAAAATTTAGGTAATAATAATATTTTTTTTTGTTTGAGCAAATTACTAAACAAATTCATAATGAATGACATCAGTTATGACTATTAACCACTCAGCAGTAAGCGACAACTATAGTCATCAAGGGTGATCATGTGGCTGTGGTAAGGGACAACTATAGTTGCCAAATTCTTTTGGGGGTATTGCCAAAAACTAGCCTAAAATTACTGTGAAAAAAAATTCACATAATAAATGAATTATGTAACAATAAAAGAAGACTTTTCTTTACCAGACATAACTGTTTACAAAATCTTTTTCCGAAACAGTAATGAGAAAAAAAGTGTGGAAAAATACTTTAAAAATTTCCCATGTTTATTCTCCACTACTGGGGGTAGAACCATACCCAACTAGTCTACTATTGAAAGGCTAACAATAAAATCTTGTGAAATCTCATTTCTATAATGGTTATTTTTGGAATTGACAAAGAAATAATGGAACATTCAAGATGCCCCAAAAAAAATCAATTTTCTTCAGAAGTAACTGAAATTTGGAGATTGAAAGCAAGTGGACATTCAGTTACTGAAATTTCAAGCAAAATAGGTCAGGAATATATAAAGTTTTGACAAGAAAAGAAAATTTTAAATCAGAAACACATTCAGGTCAACCTAAAGTAACATCACTCACAGATGAAAGATCTACTATTAGACTGGTATCTTGACTAATTTTTTAACAAGTTTTAAGAGAGTCTAACTAAAATATTTCTGAAAATACTGTGCACAGAATAATAAGTAAAAATCCTTATATTAAACTAACAAGGATGTCTAAAAACCACCTCTCAAACCTGAACATCTTAAAGCAAGATTGGAATGGCCAGAAGTTACATGCAGTAGAAAAATAAATGGTTAAGTTCACTCTCCAGTGATGGAAAAAAGTATAACTTAGATGGTTCTGATGGCTGGAATTACCACTGGCATGATCTGAAAAAAGAAGACCAGATGTTTTACAGCAAACAACAAGGTGATGGCTCTCTAATGATGCAATTGAGGATTCATTGTATAACTTGAAACCAGAATTGTTACAAATGCTTGTGAATTCAATGCCAAATCGTAAGTATAATGTTATTAAAAATAATGGAAGCACAATTAGCCATTAAAAATTTTTTTTGATGTAATTTTTGAAATTTACCTAAACTTTTGGGACAAGAATGTTTAACAAAATTTCTATTTTTGTAAGAATTTTAATAACTATTAAATTGTTAAATTTATCTTTTTAATGATATTTAATGTGATGTATTGTGATCTCATTTCACTTATTAAATCAATCAAAAGTTCAGTATTTTAAAAGTTATTCAAGAAAAATCATTTTACCTAAGCTTACAGACCTTAGTGTAAAATGCAGTATTGATCAAGATAAAGCTGACAGAGAAACTGTTAAAGATGCTGGCTTCTCTAAGGCTAAATATTTTATTGAAAAAGATAGAACTACTAAATGGAGTAAATAGTTCAAACAAGATGTGATATAGATTCTAGAATTGGCTTAAGAAACAGATCCTTAATGCAAGATTCAAAGAGCACCAATATGATATTAGTAAAAGCAAAATATAGTGTATCTCTAGCACAATATGCATTCTTAGCATAAAAGGAGATGAAAACCCAGGCTACTCATAGGTATTGCCTGGGTGTGAAAAGAGAAGAGGAAAAGAGGGAGTGAGGGGAAAGTAAGAGGAGGGTGGAAGATGTAAAAAGAAAAGGGAGATAGGATAGTTGGTGAAGGAGGGAGTCTCATGAGTGTTCTGCATTGGCATTTATGGAAATATATACAAAATAATATAAGATGAAATGAGATACAAAATAGATAACGTAGTAGTTAAGATAAAGTAAAAGTACAAAACTATAGAGCTAATTACATAGGATAGGTAAATGAAATACAATGATATATAATACAGTACAAAATTATTAGTTGGTGTAACAATTGCGACAAAGAATAAAATGTGATAATGTACATACAATTCGATACAAAGAATGAAATACGGAAATAATTATACAATATTATAAATGAAATAAAGTGTACAGAACTAGTGAACAAATTACATTATATGTATAATAATATAAGATAAAATAAAGTGTATAGAACTAATGAACAAATTACATTATATCTATAATAATATAAGATGAAATAAATTAATATACTGTAAAGGAACTAACAAACAAAATCACGACATGTAAATAATATTTAGGAATAAATACAATTAAAAATAAATACAATTATAAATACAGAAAGGTTATATAAAATTATTAGGGGATAAAATACACAGAAACTATTGAACTAATTACATAAAAATACTTAAATAAGATACAAGTAAGTAATACAGAACAATAACTGTTAACAGAATAGTAATCGCGACAATGAAGTTATGTACATACAGTTCAATATAGAATTTAAAATAAAGTACAATATACAGAAACTATTATGATAAGAATAATTAGATAAAATAAAATCAAATTAAATACTATACAAAAACTAGTGACCAACAATACATTATGTTAAATATTAAATCTAGGAATACAGACAAGCAAATACATTGTAAAGAATTGTGCTCGACATACAAAATTTTGCTGGCATGTATTAACATAAATTAATATACCACATGCAAAAATGTAAATCCGTATATTACAATATCACAATCTGGATTGCATAGTAAAAGTCTTAATTGGACTTCATTTCACCACAGTTCAAAATTGTAGTCTTGGACAAATTATCATAACACAATAGTTATAAAGCTGTAATATACAGTATAATATCACTGTTGCATAATAAGAGTTATAATTAACTTGCACCACAGTAAAAGGACCATATAAGCCGCTTCTGTGTAGACACAAGAGATCCGATGAATAGCTGAGTTGTAATTGTAACTCAAACTTAATGAACACATCATCGAAACATATAAGCACCCACTATATTAATGTAACTAAGTACATTAACTGAATGAGGGTTCTAATGCACCAGTATTTTTGATAAAGTTTTCAAGAGTAGCGAAGATATCCTTATCCTCCACCAATATCTTCATTGGGCATGGCCAGTTGAAACCTTTCTCCAAGACTATCCTCTCCAAAGCGGTTCGTTGATCATCAAATTTAAAACAGTCAAAAATAAGATGATAAGCATTTTGGATGCTGGTATGGTCACATTCACAGAGAGGGTGATCACGATGCCCAAAACGGTGTAAATAGTATTGGAAGTTCCCATGATCCGTTATAATTTGAGTTGTGTAGAAATTGGTATTAAAGTTTTTATTCCGTAGTCTAGTTGATATGTCAGGAAAGAACCGGAAAGTTGTCCTCCCTGTTTCACCTTCCTCCCACTCACGTTGCCAGATCTGTATTGCTGTATTGTGAATAACATTTTTGATTATAATATAAGAAACTTCCCAGTAAGAGGGAGTGACATTGGATGTAGCGGCTTGCTTAG